AGATAGATAGATAGATAGATAGATAGATAGATAGATAGATAGATAGATAGATAGATAGACAGACAGACAGACAGACAGACAGACGGATTGATGATAGATAACTCACTACAGGCATTATTGGCATTTACTTAAGACAATATATAAATTAGGGTATGGACATGGTGAAAGGACTGTGTATCAACAGAAAGAAACAGTGAAAGGTGTTGATTCCTTTACACCTAACCTATTCCCTTGTCTCTTTAATTTAATTTGGTTAGGTATTTTTTTTAATATTTCTAGAAATTTTATGGAAGAAATTTTGTGAAAGACATTTTGTGAAATAAATTTTGTGAAAGGCTATTTATATATACTTAAGGTATAATATATTTATAATGTAGGGCAAATAGAATACTACCCAGCTACTCTTAGTCAATATTGACAAATAATGTAAAGTCAGATCTGACTGGTACTCAGGCATGAGATCTCCTGGATATGCCAATGCTATACAGGGAAGAGAACAATAGCAATTATTTTTAATGGCTGCCAAGAAAATATAGCAATGAAATCTTCAGGAGTTAAGTTGGCCCAAGGATTTTTTTAAAAATGCAGATGAAAATGCTCTGAACTTTTATCAAGGATCCTGAATTCTAACTTGAAGGATCAAAGGATTTCAAATCATATTTAAGCTGAGAAATATGATGGAAAGATGCTGGTCATGACATCACAAAGGCACTATGATAAAAGAATAATCTAATGTTATTTTTGTATTTTAGCTATAAATAAAGCTAGTAGTTCTAATGCATAAGTTAGTTTAAATCAAAGGTGTTGGAAATGCAGAAAAACTCAGTTGAAAAAAAAACCAGTAGTGCTGAAGCAAACTTATTTTCCATGATGGTTCATACAATGTTTCCAATGTTCTAGTAATGCATCTCTGTATACATTTCTTGTTTAGAGAAGTTGACATGAAATTTGAAAAAAACATATTTTGTTTCATTTTACTATTCAGAAATGGGTTGTGCAGGACTTTTGAATTGAGAGAACTAAGGTTCTTTGGAGCACACAGTGGCACTGGTCCTTCAAAGCAGTTTTTTCTTTTCCTCTCTTTTTAAATTAAAGGATAAAATGGGATACAGTTTTTTATGCAAATAAAGTATTGATTTGAACCTTGTAAAACATTACTTTTATAGGAAACTAAGGTAAAGAATGGTGTAAGTTGTATATTAGAAGTTGGCAGAGACAGAAAAGGCAAAACGTTTCTAAATATATTTTGATCCCCAGTGTGTGTTTTCATGTGCCTGGCTGTTCTGGTGCCTGATAGAAGTACAAATTCTTTGCTGTCATTTATTTTATTGTTAAAACAAGTACTATATGCTGCATCTTCCTTTAAATTAGCTCATTATGTAAACTCACAATAAATTAATTATGAAAAATAAAAGTTGACAATATATAATGTACAGCAACTATGAAATATACAGTTAAAACCCAATCACTCTCAAAGTTGTGACATGGTTGACTTGAAGGTTTATCATACCCTTCAATATACTTCTATTATTCTCATGCAAAGGGTATAATTTAGTACTAAATATCAAGACATATGATGTCAATATGTACATTGATCAATTGCATTGTGATGAATATTTTGACATTAGATGGTCTACCCAGAAGAGTAGAGCAGTTCAAAAAGCTCCAACATCTTCCAGCAATGTTTTGTGTTGCCACTGAGTAGGTCTAATGGGTTTCTCTGTACTTAGACAAGAAGCCTGCATAAGTATTTGGACAATTCTGTTTAACAGATTACATCTATGCTTCTGTATCTATTTCCTGGGTGTGATTCTTGCTGAAACTCAGTAAAATTAAGATCTAAATGTTTTATTTAAATATAGATAAATAATTGAGACTAAACTCAGATATGACAATCTGGTGCAGTGGTTTAAGGAATCAGACTACAAACCAAGAAACTAGCTGGATGACCTTGGACCAATCTCTCTTTCTTAGCTTTGGGAAGGAGGCAATAGCAAACCACTTCTGAAACCTTGTCAAGAAAATTGCAGACAGGCCATCAATACTGGCTCAAAGTCATGCAGAAACACAACACAAACTCAGCTATGATTGCATTTTAAATGACTTGTGTTCTTCAATACTTTCAGCACATTTTGAAGCTAGAGCCATACTCATGCAAAGAACTCTTGAAAGATATTTAATACAACCTGTGCCATCAAATTTGTTGTCACTGTTGGAACTGTGCAAGTCTTTGAAATAGCCACTTTGGAAAGCATAGAAGAAATTATGAATTCCTTCTTTTCCAATAATGTGTCTTTTTCCAGGTTCATGCAGAACCTCCCAGCCCTTTCTATATCCTTCTGCATTCATAGCCACTTTGCTTTACATCACATAGAACAAAGTAAAATGATCAGGACCAGTTTCTAAAGCAGCCATGGTAATCCTAAAATATGCAACTTTAGTAATTTAGAAAGTAATGCTTTGTATGCACTCCTACATTTTCAGAAGAACTGCTTTAAAGGATGTCCATAACTCTATAATTTTGCACAAATCATGGACTCATAACGAGGAATACAGTAAACAGTGAGACAGAAAGCTCCTCCAAATACTTTAAGTACTGGTATTTGTTAAATAAATCCTGTGATTTTTTTAAATATATGAAATATATAGTAACACACAGAACAAATGTTATTAGTGGTAATAGAGTTTTAGCAAGTTTTTAATGCTTGTTTTTACTGAAATTAGAGAAAATTTATTTCAGATTAAATAATTGATTTAAGATTTCAACTCTGAAATTCTTTTTTTTTTTTGCTAAGTTCTTGCTAATATTGGTTCTAATTCTCTTTTACTGTTGCACGGACATTAAAAAAATTATTCTTGGAAAGCATTCTTTGATTTTGCACATATGTTATTTTACAATTCTCTATCAATATCAGTTTTTGATATGCTGCTTTGACTGCAAAATCTGCATATAGGGATGTAAGAATGCCACTGCTTAAAGGCAAATTGGGGGGAAAAAATCCATACAATGATATTGAGGTGACATTTTGCAAAATGCAAGTTGACTTGCTTAAACATGGCTGCCAGAATAAATTATGTAATTCATGTAAAATTACATAATGTATTGTTTATCTTTGAACATTTGGAGCCCAAAAAGATTAAAAGAATGTAAGATACTCTCTTTCTCTCTCTCATTCATTTCCCCACCTTTTGGTCTGCTATTGTTTCACATCTCTCCTTTTGCTTCTCCTCTCCCCTAGTACCACAATGAATATGTGAGTCCAGTGCATCACATAGCTATTTAGATGAAACTATATTCCTTAAAAGGGATGCAGTGGCTCAGTGGCTAAGATGCTGAGCTTGTTGATCAGAAGATCGGCAGTTCAGCAGTTCAAATCCCTAGCGCCCATTACTTGTCCCAGCTTCTGCCAACCTAGCAGTTCGAAAGCACATAAAAATGTAGAAAAATAGGGACCACTTTGGTGCGAAGGTAAGAATGCTCTATGCACCATTAGCATTTAGTCTTGCCGGCCACATGACCATGGAGACGTCTTAGGACAGTGCTGGCTCTTCGGCTCTAGGAGCACCACCCCTAGAGCCTGAGAAAACCAGCATGCATGTACAGGGGAACCTTTACTTATATTCCTTAAATTGAATCATGTGACCATGGGAAACCAGGGCAAGAAGTTCCTTCTTCCTATATGGATGTATCACCAGACCAATACTTATTGCCTTGTAAATAGCAAGCCACATCACTGCAGCCATGTCACAGTACAGCATAGTACATTTTGGCATTCAGTCAGTGAAGCAAACCTCTGAAGATGTACAAATTTAGTTATCCATTATTAACTTTCCTACAAATATTACATATCATAAATATACAGTTGATAACTTTTTTCTTTGATATTCTTTCTAGGTGATTTTGAAAAGTTCCTACTTCTTTTTGTCATTTATAGTTAGGCCCTTAAAGGAAGCATCTCTCTCAGACAAACAAGGTCCCTCGTGGGAATTTCTTGGTGATATTAAACCCAGAATGAATACTTCAGAGGTTTGCCAATCATTTTTTTTTATTATTTTATTACATTTTTGGCAATGTCTCTTTCAACAACATTTGCATCCAAGCTTTAGGATGCATTCTTGAACAGCATCCATAACTAAGAAACTTGATTGGTTCCAGATCCTAATAATTCTAAACGTGACAAATGTTTGCCAACTATTTATCTCTTATTACAGACAATTCATCGCTGTTATGTAAATATTTAGATGAATACATATACCATAAACAACATATAGGATCTTAATCTGTGCTAATGAACTTTTTTGTTTGACATGACAAAGAAAAAATGTACATAATTCCTTCATTATTTTGTATTGCAAAGACTTAGTAAGTAAATAAGTTTAGTAAGACATTTAGGCTGTACATAACTTAGTGGGAAGAAAATAATGAAAAAGTGAATGAGTCACTTGGTTGAAAACTTATGGTTGAACTGACGCTTGAGGGTTATTTGTTAGATCTTGCTAAAGGTTATAAAGTGAGTTGGGGAAATGAAACGTCTGTTTGCAATCTGGACATTGTTTAGAATAATGTCTCCCTTTAGAGGTCTGTTGTTTGTGCTGTAGCAGAGCTTGAACTTTTCTTAGGTTGCAAAAGGGGTTATCTCTCATTGCATGGAAAGAACAGATGTGTTGTCTTTTACCCTTTTCAGCCTCCACCTGCATTTGATTAGAGACAGCAGCAGTTCTACATATCCCATTCCAGAATACCATGATGACATAGCAGCTTCAGACAACAGCGTGACTAGGATTTTTTTCCCCTAAACCCTTGAATCACAGAGGATCTGGCAGCCAGTTACCATCTGACACTGTTTATAGCATATATTGTTCGATCCACTCCCTTACTGAATCTGCTGTGGGAATTAAAGCAAGCAGTTTCAAGTCAGAAAGGTAAGTTCTCTTGCATGTTTTAAACACTTAGAATCAAGCAACTGAACAAAGCAGCACTGAAAATACAACTCACCTTTGTCAGTTTGCAGACACAACTACTGTTGTGAATTTGTTTTCTGAGTTTATGTTAAAATGCTCTTCATGTTTTGTGGGTTACTGTTGCATTTCTTTGCAAAATTTAATCACTTCCAGAAGAGCTATTCCATACCATAGGGAGGAACAGAATATCTATCTAATAAATATTTCAATTTCAACTCTTATAATATCAAATAGGTGGATTACTCTGAAAATTGCATTGATAAAAACAATAGTTCATGTCACTGAAGAACATAACTATTAAAGGTTATTCGTCTATTAATGTTAATCAAACTTTTATGGAACTGCAATGGTGGTTTTAGTGTGAAACTTTGAAAAGTGTACAGAATAAGATTCCCTCTTTTTAACTGCTAGTGAAAAAGATTTTTCCATATGAGGGAAGGTGCCAACTGACAATTGTAACCTTTGCATGCAAATTTTTAGCAGATATTCACAGGAATATTTATGTATTTGTACTAGAGAAATAATGATTTGTACTAGATATTTGTACTAGAGAAGTATCTATATACTCTGCTAACTTCTGGTTCCTGCTCATCTTTTAGGAACCAGACCAAATTTTCACAAACAAGTTTATGAAATGTACACAGAGCAGAGAAGGGTCTCACAAATTTCAGAAATTATAACCTTGCATGAAAAAGATTATCCTTGATTTTTTTTATGTTCATAGATTATTCACATGATTAACAAATATAATACTGCACTTTTGTTGGATAAATATTACTATTACTATATTACTAAATATTAGTATCTTGAAGCAAATATTTAAGTCTGAAAAATGTAAAACTACTTTATAATATTTTGAAATGTTTAACTAAATATTAACATACTTTATTAATATAGAGTGGCTTACCAGTCTGTAATTCAGTAAGTCAAATGGATACAAAAAGTATAAAGTAGTACAAATATATCAGAAATATATGAGAAATATTTCCAATACCAAACTGTGTGATTCTAAACAAGACCTTATGTTATTATATTTCTTTTAAATAGAATCAGGAAATGTTTCTTAACCTATTAAAGGGAAGATTGTAAAGTATCTCTGATCAACCAACTCAGTTCAGTGTACTGTAACAACAACTAAGGCTACTGATTTACAGTTAATACTATGTTCTTATAGAAAGACATTTACAATTGAAATCTGTACAATGAGACCTAAACTCTAACCAATCTTTCCAGTATCTCCAACAACAATTCCATTACATAAAACAATATTAATTTCACACTATATATATTTAATATATAAATTTGCAAGCCACAGAATTGCCTGACATGTGGAAACATTTATTAGACAAATTAAAATATTCCATAAATATATGCCAAAATACATAATAATTTACTGATCACTAAAACTTCAGTTATTTTATATTCAGCTGTAATCTACCATGTTACTTCAACTCCCCCCCCCTTTTTTTTACAACTGACATTGTTTCTAGCTAATTTTGTAATTCTTCTCTAGTGTGTTAGACAAAATGGTATTTTCTTTTAGTTCATTAATTTTAACCCTCCTTTTTCATTCAAAAAAAGAATTGGGGAAAATAGTTTTTGGGACATTAATATAGGAACTTGTTTCTTATAAATCCAAGATGTCCTTCCATGAAGATATAATTGGCAAAGAAATCAAGTGATACCAGATTATATTGTAGTATACCTATCCATTCAAATCCAGCTGTGATAGCTTTATTTCAAAGATGCAAGTTTCATTATAATTCAGCTGTCTATTTTTCTAATACTAAACCTCATACCACAAACATCTTCAGTGGAATCATTTCATGGGGTTGGTGGTTCTTATGCACTCTGAAGCCAACACATCTTGTACTATTTAGTAGAGTGACTAATTATTTTTAAGATGAGGATGAAAGAACTAAAGAAGATAAAAGAGCTTTTATCCTGGCAACTGAACTGAATGAACTGCATCTACCCCTCCCACTGTATTCTCTGTGTGTTGGCCAAACCTCCTCCAAATTTTTGGAATAAAACTAGACTGAGTATGTTCAGAGAACTTAACAGACAAGTAAACAGCAAGAGGATATCCATTTCATGAGAGAAAGTCTATACTTTTGAATATGGCCCTTGTCCTAATCTATATCAAAATTGTAAATATTCAGTCATGTCTCTGTCATATAATTATCTACTTTTTGGTTAAAGTATTAAATTTATTATTCCATATATAGTCTTCATTGAGAAAAAAGCATCAAATCATCTATAATAACAATTAAGAAGTGCAAATGCCTAATTTTACATGAAAATGCAGAAGGGCAAAAACCTCCTTGTGGTTATTTATTTATTTACATTTGTTATAACTACCTATCTATAATAGACTCTGGGTGGCATACACAACCCAAAAATATATAAAACCCCATAAAATGAAATTCTGTGAAAAAATATGGGTTTTCCCAAACCACACAATATAAGGAAATGCAATAGTTTTTATGATACTGACAAAAGCTCAATATAGATTTTATCTACAGGCATATATCTTAGGAACTTCACTGTGAAACAGAGAAATATAACAAAGTAAGTATTAGACTTGTTTATACCAATAATATTTTTTACTGATGCTGTATGCCCCTTTATCTGTCCTTAGGTTTTGGCTCTTTCTACTTACCTGGTTTCTGTGGTCCATGATCTGCAGCACATCCTTATATTTTCATCAAGTTTTTGGTTTCCAACAGCTCTTCTGAAGCTGAGCTAATTAGATTCAGGGCCAGAATAGCTTCTGCATTAACATTAAGCATTTTGCAGCATTAAGATTGAAGTGGAATACCACTTCTGAGAATTCCTGTACAACCCATCCTCCTTATCTCTTTCCTTACCCTTCTATAGTTAAGATACTACAGCATCTTACCAATTATTTCATTATATTTCTTAAATTTAAAAAACAGGTATTCTCTCTCCCCGCATTCCCTCCTTCCTTCCCTCCCTCTTATTCAACCTTTCATTGCATTAAAAAAAAACAATAATTGCTGTGAGTCTCATATAAGATTGGGGGAATAAAATGGTGGTTAGTTCCAATTATGCATACTGTTGCATCAGAGATTGTCTGGAGATAAGATAAGATTGATGATAGATGATAATGATGTTAAATAGATAGGTGATAGATAGAATGGTGAATGGTGAAATAATTAAGTAAAGTGAAAAATTATCACTCCAAATCTCTGCTAGCCCCAAAACTTGTTGATTTGTTTCTGAACTGGCTTTCTCAAGCCTCCATATCATAAAGATTTTGGGTGAAAACCCACTAGTTTCTTGGTCTTTTTTGCCCAGGAAGAAGTAGATTTATCAACAAACACTACTCGCACCCTCATGGCAGCATCACATGATGTATCGGGACTTTTTTTCTTCTTTGCTAAACCAGGAGGGGGTGGGGCCAGCACATGACACATCCAGGCTGTGGGCTTCTGGTTTGACAGCCCTGATCTACATGAAGCCACTGTAGGAGATCATCTATCAGTACAAAGTTAGGGTTTATCAGTATGTGAGTGATTTTAATATATCAACTTCAGGACAGATTGGAAATGCAGGTGGGGCTCTTTCTTAAGGCTTTTAGATTCTAAAAGCAGACTTAGAACTTATCATCAAGGTAAGAGTAATTGTATCTGATAAGCCATCCAATGCCAGTGTTGTTCCATTTTTGGTTGTGGTTGTGATCATTCTTCTCACCACCTATCCATGTTGAACATTTTGAAATTATTTCTACTTATTGGCAGATCACTGCTATGGCCAGAAAGGCCCTCACATGGTTTTATCTTTTGTGCCAGATATGACCATTACTAGATTGGGAAACTCATAGTCATCATCTTTCACATGGAGCTGACCATGAGGTCCACTTAGAATATATTGCTGATTCACAGTGTAGCAGTTTGAGTAGTTATGGTTATAATTAGGTTGCCATGTAACATCACTATTTTGAGAGTAGCCTTGTTAATAGTTGACTTTCAGGTGCAATTCTAAGTGCTGGTTGCTACCTTCAAAGGTTTATATGGATCAGGACTTGGGTTTCAGTAAGAAACCTCCAAGTTGCCTCCAAGTTGCTTCCAATATATGAAGAAGTAGCGTTTAGTGTGGAATAGTGGAGGGCCAATTTTTCTTTGCATTCATTGCCTGGGACCAGGCACTCTTAACCTTCTTGTGAGACCTTTTGAGAGCTTTTTGAGAAAAATCTATTAATTAAGTATATTTAATAAAATAAAATGAATATATAGATTGCACTATAAATAAACCCAAGTATACTCAAATATAATTATTAATATATTAAAAATAATGATATGATGTAGAAATGTGTATTTCTTTATTAACCCATTAAATGAATAACATGACAAATTAAATTTCAGTTAGAAGTTAGTGAAAATAAATTTGTAATTGTTTTTCTCATCCAAGTTCACAGACCTCCTGAAATCTATTTGTAGACCTATACTAAGAATCCCTACCTTTGACCTTCCTACCTAATTTGAAAATGGGTTTATTTGCCAACAATGTATGGAGAAACCTGATGCTATACAAAACATGAATATTGGAATTAATATAGAAGTTAAAGGGAAGAAGACTAAATATGCATCCATGTCTAACTCATTTTAAAATAAGAATTGAAACAGATTTCCAAAGATAACTCATCTAACGTATATCAACATAATTAATTGAAAAAAGAGTAATGTATAGTTGCTTCTGCCAGTTTAACTATAGATTGATTTTGGTTACTGAGTCTAAGCTACCAGTAGCTTACACTCATGGAAGCCAAAATAAAATGTTTCATATAAATTGAACGGAATAGAATACTATTCTGCCAAATACTGAAACAAAATCCTTTATGAAACATTAACAAATCAGTTCTAAACCCAAGACCTTGGCTAGCATCTTATCTAGAATAACATGAATGGTATCAGAATCAGCAGATTGATGTGGAATGAGATCTTGAAGTAAATACCAAAATTCCAAGAAAGTGTCAATGCAATCTTTATCCAGTGTAAGAAAGGCCAGTAGCATAATAGGAATAATAAGAAAAAGTACTGCAAATAAGGAGACCAATATTTTAATGTCCTTATATAAATGGTGTGATTCAATTCTAGAATATTGTGTGCAGGTTTGCTAGCCATACCTCAAAAAGGAGATAGTGGAAATAGAGAAGGTTTAGAGGAGGCCAACAAAATGGGATATGATTGAGATATACAAAATTGCATGCCATAAATAAAATGGCTAAATCTCCCAAAATACACAAACAAGAGGTTATCTAGTTAAAATAAATACTGGAAGAAACAGGAAACATTTTTTTCTACAATGCAGATAATTAAGTTTTGAAATTCACTCCTATAAGATGTGGTATAGCTACCAGACTGTCTGGCCAGATATTTGGACCTATACATACTGGTAGAAATCATGAAGATCAATGGCTCTTAGCCTTTATGATGCTCTTATGATATGCTGGGAGAGAAATCTGCTTCTTTCTACAGATAGTTAGCTATTCTGACAACTAGTGCAAGCTGGACTAGATGGGCCAGAGATATTGATCCATTATGTCACTGATTATGTTGTTATGTTCATAGTCATTCAATACATTTCACATATAGATCTCCAGGCCAGTTTCCTCCCTTTGGCATCTGAGTTTTACTCAGCCTGAGTAATAAGGGAAGAGAATAATGGGAGCCACTAGTCATAATTTATAAAACCACCAACTGTGATTTTCCCCCCCTTTCTTAAAATAGGGCTTTTGTCTAAAATCAAATGATGGATTCATTCAAAGGGTAGCATAAGAATGCTTCCCAGAGAAGTGGGATATGAATCTGGTGAATCTGGTCCCAGTTGAATTTATTTACAAATTAATTTATTCAGTTAGTTACATATTCAAAAAAATGGAAGAATATAAGAATAAATTTCTTGGTTAAGTTCAGCATTTTGTTTCTCACCGGCCAATGACAGAGCCAAATTGCTTTCCCACCATTGTTCTCTTCAACTCAGATCTGGGAAGTCTCCAAACCACAGATAGCAACACGTTTCAAGAAAAGTAGTCCTTCATAGACTTGATCATAAATGTATTAATTCCCATTTCTTTATTTAATTTAAATACCATCCAAATTGTATGATTCCTGGCAGTTTCCAATTGAAAAGTTTATCTATATAGATTAGGTGGTCATCACTACATCTCAGGATAAATATCCATTGTGTTCTTTACCTGTTCTAAATATCCTTCTAAACATCTATGTTGGTTGATGTCCTAGCATTTTGAGAAGCAGAAAGATAGAACTCTACTTTTCTATTTTTCTATGATTTCAGTCAAAACAAAACAATGTTCCCTTTAGAAGCCCTGTTTTTGAAGCTAAAGCAGACTTTTCTTGTAAAATAGCTATTGGAACCTATCATAATCTTATCTCCAGCATTATATCCCTTTCCAGATATGATGAGCAGACCTATGCACATTTTTACAGATGCAAATTTACATCATATGAATATTTGTTTATGTAATTCCTCTCTGTTTTTTTAACTGAAATTAGTCATTATGCTGGACTTATTGAACATGCTCACCATCAAGTAAATGATGAATCAGCATTTTACAACCATTATGTTTTGATGGAGGAGTCACTTGGTAAACTGCCAAGTAAACTACTGTGTATACCTTCCATTTCCCTCCTCCATGAGTAAAGCTATTTTTACTCACATAGACAAATATTTGGAAAATAATGGTTGGCCCAAGTGATCCATTTCCTTAATCTCTAGAAGTTTTAAGTCAACATTTTAGCAATTAGAATTGTTAATAATATATAAGGACATAGTGGCTCAGTGGCTAAGAAGCTGAGCTTGTTGATTGAAAGGTCGGCAGTTTAGTGATTCGAATCCCTAGTGCCGCATAACAAGGTGTCCTCCCGTTACTTGCTCCAGCTTCTGCCAACCTAGCAGTTTGAAAGCACATAAAAATGCAAGTAGAAAAATAGGGATCACTTTGGTGGGAAGGTAATAGCGTTCCATGCATCTTTGACGTCTAGTCATGCCGGGCACATGACCACAGAGATGTTTTCGAACAGTGTTGGCTCTTTGGCTTTGAAATGGAGATGAGCACCACCCCCTACAGTCAGAAATGACTAGCACATATGTGTGATGGGAACCTTTATCTTTACCTTACCTTTACCTAATAATATATTAAATTTCTCTATACTTTCATATAAAATTCATATCATCTGTATGTAATAACATTATAGAAAGTTTATTTTCCATATAAATATTTAATAACCATTGCCATGTCATATCAGAAACACTTAGCCGCACCCTGCGTGTGTGCACACCCATCACCTTGTGACCCAGAGTGAAACCACCCAGAAATTAATCATGAATTGTTAGCATGAATTTCTTCAGTTTGTGTAGGTGGGACAGTGAGTCTTGGCAGCTGGCCCTGTCTTCTCCCCTGAATGGCAGCTTCAGGCCTCAGAACTTGTATTGACTTGTATTATTTAGTCATTGATGAAAGCTGTAAATACTTAATATAACATAATAATAATAGCCTATGCATATAACCATAATAAATACTACAGTTTTCAAAAAGTTATACCATTTCCCCAAAAATAAGACCTATCCTGAAAATAAGTCCTAGCATGTTTTATACGTGCATCTAATATACTCCCTACCCCCAAAATAAGACCTACTTAAGAGCCTGCACAGCTGGCTGGCTGCCCATTCTGTCTGGTTGCTCAACGGTGCTGCACCACAAGGTGAGGTTGGGTGGTAGTGAACTGCCCCATGTGCACTGCACTGGCTTACCCCAAGGCCTCTGCAGCCAGCCATCCACACCCTGACACCTGTCTTGTGGTAGCAGCACCAGCAGCCATGTACAGCAGGAGCCCACCTGACTGCCACCCCACTTCTTCTGCTTGCTTGAAGATAGATAGATAGATGATAGATAGATAGATAGATAGATAGATAGATAGATAGATAG